GGAAACCATGCCCTATTTCTTTTTAAACTCTCTTCTTTCCTGTTGAAATTGTGTTTATGTTTGTGAATTTCAATGGCTTCCCTGTGTACTCTGACATGGTAATTGGATGTGTGGTTCAGCCTTTCAGTGTCTTGGAATAAGATAGTGTGTCCTGTTTGAGTTAGGCTATGTTCAGCCAGTGCTGATTTTTCAGGTTGGCCCAGTCTGCAGTGTCTTTCATGTTCTTTTATTCTTGTCTGGATGCTACGTTGTGTGGTCCCGATGTAAACCTGTCCACAACTGCAGTATACTCCTGCAGAAGTGAGGGGGCCTCTTCTGTCTTCTGCGGATCGCAGCATCTGTTGTACTTTCCTGGTGGATCTCAATACTGTTTGTAGATTGTGTTTTTTCATAAGTTTTCCCATCTGTTTACATATGTTTCAGTGTTCCCCCCAAATTTCCACTCCCCCCCCCGTGGCAGTAAAATGTACGGAAATTTTACATTTCTACATGTGCCTGATGCTTTCTGGCCCTTTCATAGCCACGCAGAACGAAGCCTGAGCGAGATGTTTTTAGACCCTGGAGCTGTGGCTTGAAACAAGACGATCCAGCATATGCTAGGCACAAAAATGTCATAGGTTGTTATTTCAGGAGAGTGCTGGAGTTAGGCCTGGCCCCTGTCTTTGCTGTGTGTCGGGGGGAGGGGGTTCATGAGCACATCAGACTGCCTCATGCCAAGTCACTTTTCCGACCATATGCCTTGACACTCTTGGCGAATCTTTGTGTTTGATTGGCCAGGTAAAAAGGCAACTGGATGAGAAGAACTGATTGTGTGCCGAAAGAGCCCCCAAAAGTGCCATGTGGAGGTTGTTCACTCCCAGGGCATTTTTTGTAGAAAAAGCCCAGCAGGAACTCATTAGCATAATAGGCCACACCCAACAGCAGGAACTCATTAGCCTATTGGGCCACACCCCTGACAGCACTGCTCATTAGCACATTAGGCCGCACCCACATGTTACCAGAAGTGTGGTCATCCAGCCACACCCACCTTTTTCTTGTTATTCTTTTACCTCGTTTGTTGTCAAAACCCAGGGCCTTTTTTTGTAGCAGGAACTCCTTTGCATGTTAGGCCACACACCCCTCATGTAGCCGGTCCTAATGAGTTTCTGCTATTGGGCGTGGCCTGTTATGCTAATGAGTTCCTGCTGGGCGTGGCCAACTCAGGAGCCAGCTGGAACTCCGTTCCTGTGCGTTCCTGCCCAAAAATAGCCCTCACTCCCATCCATATATGAGGTCCCAGAACCAGCATGCCCTTTGTGGCTGAGACCGGCTCTGATGGAATCTGTTTTGTCCCTAAAAAGGGGGGCTGGGGTGGTGTTGCAGGGAGAACCCAGGAGGCAGCTTCCAGCAAACCTTCACGTAATAGGACCGGAATTTAGAGGCATTTCTCCGCTGAAGCCAGACCAGCTGCCAAGCGCACAAAAGGAATGGCCTCGGTGCGCAAATGGATAATGGAGGCCATTCTCTTTCCTCGCGGTTTATTTTAGTTGCACCTTAAAGCTGCCGAAGCTGCGGGAAAGGGAAGCCAGAACAATCAAGGGACTGGGGCTCCCTTCCCACGCAGACAGGCTCGAGCGCTCGGGCTTCTTTAAGTTTAGGAAAAACGACAACTAACGAAGGGGCAAGTCGATAAAAGTGTGCCTGTGGAGCGAAGCAGGGGGTGTTCCACTTCCTAGTACAACTGGGTCAGTCGGTGCAATTGATGGGTAGTAGATTCCGAGCAGGCCAGAGAGAGAGAGAAAGAGAGAGATATTCACGCGATGCAGAATTCAGGTCTGTATTTAATTTATGCCGTTACGCATAGCGGCGGCCACTGACTCAGACCATTCCAAAGGGAGATTAATCCAGTTCAGGGTCTGGCCATGACTACGCGCTTTGAGGGCTAAATGGGGCCTCCGAGTACAGCTGTGGGGGGTTAGGGTCGCCAGCCCCAGGCTCGAAAGTTCCTGGAGATTTGGGGGTGGGGTTTGGGAAGGGCAGCGTTTGGAGAGTGTGAGGACCCCCGCCGGGTGTAATGCCATAGAGTCCACCCTCCGAAGCAGCCGTTTTCTCCCGGGGAACTGATCCGCGCGGTCTGGAGGTCTCCAGGCCCCACCTGGAAAATGACCAACCCTGGGGTGGCAGTTACACGGCCATCCTCAGAAGCAGCGGAGTTGCCTGTTGATCAGAGGGTGTTGCTGGCCTAGACTGGCCCTGAGCTTGTTCAGCCAGGCCATCTGGGAGGTGACGAGAGAGACGGGAAGAGAGCAGTCTGCATGGCATGTCTTCAGAAGCCAGAGTGGCCATACCCTGGGGTGGCAGTTACACGGCTGTCCTCTGAAGCAGCGGAATTGCCTGTTGATCAGAGGGTGTTGCTGGCCTAGACTGGCCTTGAGCTTGTTCAGCCGGGCCAGTTGGGAGGTGCCGAGAGAGACGTCTGCGTGGCATGTCTTCAGAAGCCAGAGTGGCCATTGGCACCCAACAGTTCCCAGTGCCGCCTTCCCCAGTCAACAAATGGGATCCTGTTTTGACTTGAGCAAGGTGCGAAGGGGCAGTAACATCCCTCCCTCCCTCCCCCCATGTAGACGCTGTCTCTGCCGCAGAACTGAGAGCCTGAAGCAGGGGAGGTGGTAGTTCCACTCTATTCTGCTATGGTCAGGCCTCACCTGGAGTCCCGTGTCCAGTTTTGGGCACCACATTTGAGGAAGGATGTTGACAAGCACGAGCGTGTCCAGAAGAGGGCAACCAGGATGGTGAGAGGGTTGGAATCAAAGTCTTACGAGGAAAGGCTGAAAGAGTTGGGTATGTTTAGCCTGGGAAAAAGAAGGCTTAGAGGGGACATGGTTGCAGTCTTCAAGTATCTGAAGGGCTGTCATGTAGAAGATGGAGCAGATCTATTC